CAATCAGAAACCATTCGTCAATGCACACTAACTTTTTAATCAAATACATGAGAGAATCCCCCACTCTTGGCATTTGATCAGATCTTCGCATTGCTATCATATTGCAACCCAAACGACAAATCAACTACAACCTGCAATATGATGTACCAAGTAATATCCAATGTATCGTGTTGTATGAAATTTTCTATATTATGTATATATAGATGATTTGTGTGTATATTGTATCAACTGCACTATCCAATGTATCATGTTGTATAAAAATTTCTATTAGAAATTTATCAGTGTATCTAGTAGAAATGTATACAACGTTTCGATAGTAGTGATTTTGGATTATTTCCATTCAATCTTCATGGATTATTTTCATTCAATGTTATGTGCTTGAGTTTAGTGGTTGATAAATATGAATATCTGTAATGAATTGATGCACTGATTGAACTGAAAAAGTTTTGATGGTAGTTGGTGGTAACTACAGCCTATTGGGCCATATTATGCAAGTGATAATTGTAAGAGATGGCAATGGCAGAACTTGATAAGCACTAAGCAAGTTGTATTGGCTACTTAGTTTGTGTATATTAATCAATTTTTTTCGGAGCAATGTAAACATTCGATGACCTATTATGTGTTGCTTGATCAATTATCCACCTCAACGAGAGGTCCTCGCTTAATTTTTTAGCTTTTGGAAAAGTATAACACTTTACGAGAAAATATAGCAACTTATTGATAAAGTATAGCACCTTATGGCAAAGTATAACACTCTATGACAGTAGTATATATAGCACCTTATTAATAAAGTATAGCACCTTATGGTCTCTAGAAATTTTGTAACTTAATGGGATAAACCAAATCAGTTTTTTTCGGAGCAATGTAAACACTCGATGACCTATATTATGTGTTGCTTGATCAATTATCCACCTCAACGAGAGGTCCTCGCTCAATTTTCCAGTTTTTAGAAAAGTATAGCACTTTACGGGAAAGTATAACAGCTTATTGATAAAGTATAGCACCTTATGGCAAAGTATAGCACTTTATGACAGTAGTATAGCACCTTATTGATAAAATATAATACCTTATGGTCTCTAAAAATTCTGCAACTTAGTGGGATAAACCAAATCAGTTTTTTTCGGAGCAATGCAAACACTCGATGACCTATATTATGTGTTGCTTGATCAATTATCCACCTCGACGAGAGATTCTCGCTCAATTTTCCAGCTTTTGGAAAAGTATAGCACTTTATGAGAAAGTATAGCAGCTTATTAATAAAGTATAGCACCTTATGACAAAATATAGCACTTTATGACAATAGTATAGTACCTTATTGATAAAGTATAGCACCTTATGGTCTATGGAAATTCTTCAACTTAGTGACATAATTTTTAGAGACCATAAAGTGCCATACTTTATCAATAAGGTGATATGCTATTGCCATAAAGTGTTATACTTTATCATAAGGTGCTATACTTTATTATAAGGTGCTATACTTTATCAATAAGCTGTTATATTTTCTCGTAAAGTGCTATACTTTTTCAAAAGCTAGAAAATTGAGCGAGGACCTCTCATCGAGGTGGATAATTGATCAAGCAACACATAATATAGGTCATCAAGGGTTTACATTGCTCCGAAAAAACTGACTTGGTTTACCCACTTAATGACAGAATTTTTAGAGACCATAAAGTGTTATACTTTATCAATAAGGTGCTATGATATTGCCATAAAGTACTATACTTTGCCATAAGGTGCTATACTTTATCAATAAGCTGCTATAATTTCCCATAAAGTGCTATACTTTTCCAAAAGCTAGAAATTTAAGCGAGGACCTCTCGTCAAGGTGGATAATTGATCAAGCAACACATCTTACATGTTATCGAGTGTTTGCATTGCTCCGAAAAAACTGATTTGGTTTATCCCACTAAGTGGCAGAATTTTCAGAAACCATAAAGTGCTATACTTTATCAATAACGTGCTATACTACTGCCATAAAGTGCTATACTTTGCCATAAGGTGTTATACTTTATCAATAATCTACTATACTTTCCCATAAAGTGTTATACTTTTCCAAAAGCTAGAAAATTGAGCGAGGATCTCTTGTCGGTGTGGATAATTGATCAAGCAACACATAATATAAGTCATCGAGTGTTTGCATTGCTCTGAAAAAAACGGATTTGGTTTACCCACTAAGTAGCAGAATTTCCAGAGACCATAAGGTGCTATACTTTATCAATAATCTGCTATACTTTTCCATAAAGTGCTATACTTTTCCAAAGATGGAAAATTGAGCGAGGATCTCTTGTCGATGTGGATAATTGATCAAGCAACACATAATATAGGTCATTTTGTATTACTCCAAAAAAACTGATTTGGTTTACCCACTAAGTGGCAGAATTTCCAGAGACCATAAGGTGCTATACTTTATCAATATGGTGTTATACTACTGTGATAAAGTGCTATATTTTGTCATAAGGTGCTATACTTTATCAATAAGCTGCTATACTTTCTCGTAAAGTGCTATACATTTCCAAAAGCTAAAAAATTGAGCGAGGACCTCTCATCGAGGAGGATAATTGATCAAGTAACACATAATATAGGTCATCGAGTGTTTGCATTGCTCTGAGAAAAACTAATTTGGTTTACCCACTAAGTGACAGAATTTCCAGATACCATAAGGTGCAATACTTTATCAATAAGATGCTATACTACTGCCATAAAGTGTTATACTTTGTCATAAGGTGCTATACTTTATCAATAAGCTGATATACTTTCTCGTAAAGTGCTATACTTTTCCAAAACCTAAAAAATTGAGCGAGGACCTCTCGTCGAGGAGGATAATTGATCAAGCAACACATAATATAGGTCATCGAGCATTTGCATTGCTCTGAGAAAAACTGATTTTGTTTATCCCACTAAGTTGCGGAATTTTCAGAGATCATAAAGTACTATACTTTTTCAATAAGGTGCTATACTATTGCCATAAAGTGCTATACATTGTCATAATGTGCTATACTTTATCAATAAGCTGCTATATTTTCTCATAAAGTGCTATACTTTTCCAAAAGCTGGCAAATTGAGCGAGGACCAAGTGATACGCACCAGATTCATTACAACAACAATGAAAATAATCTAAAATCACCAAAATTACCCAAACTCTAAAACGATATAATTTCAACAATAAGAACATAATTATAGCATGAAACAATAATTACACATTACCACTACAAATATCATCACACCATGCAACACTTTATTACTATGAGAGTTGTACTTTTCCAAAATCCAAAGAGCATCATTCATGATTACATCATGCACAATAATTATAATATTTTCTAGCAGATTTTTTGATTTCTCCGAGACAAATGCAATCGCGAACTTTGCTCTTAGGAGTTCACAATCGTTGATGAATGAATGGAGGTGTGCCATTGATGATGGAATATGTGTATCCCATCATGAAAATGCTGCAATCTACGCTCCTGCACAAACAAATGCCACAATCAATGATTGCATGATAAGAAAATTTTATTAACTGCCAAATCTAACTTATCGTGCATTTCCAAAGCAAAATACATGAAAGTAATATTGAGAAATGCTGACATAAGAGGCTTCATATCACTTTCAAATGATACATCCATAAACTTTTCTGCAATATCAATTCTAAGTTAGCGTGCATTTCCAAATCAAAATACATGAAAGTAATATCGATTTTGATGCGTAATGCTTCAAATTATCCAAACCCACAAGAACAATAAGAATCTGAAGGACCACCAAGCAATAAGAAAATTAGAATTTTTATGTTGCAACTCTTCACCATTCCCAACACCAACAAAAGTCCATGAGAAGAAAATTAGAATTTGAGTAACCAAAAATCATCAAAATCAAATATTGACAAGAGAGAACACTAAGCGTAAATTCAACGAATAGGTGGTGGGCAAAGAGTTGAACTAACTTAGCTTGCAATGGAGAACAACATAACCCACCTCCTCCTGTCGAACCCACTTCCTTTGAGCACCAAGGATCCTCACCATCGTCTTCGGCTTATGCGAAAGTAGCTCCTTACAAAGCCAGACGATCTTCGACCTTCGCCATTACTCCGGGTGCTCCTCAAGCTCCGTCCACTGGTGGCAACGACAAGTGCTTCAGGTCCTTGTCTGCCGCTACGTCGGCGAACTGTAGGGAGTCAATGTCAAAATTATTGGTGGGCTATTCATCTGCTTCAAGGTCGATGGTGGTGGGTGACGTGGCGACGAGGGAAGATAGGGGGCGATGGATGCAGAAGTTGATAAGCATGAGGGAGGAGGGGAAGTGAAGGGAGGGGAGAGGAGGATGTTGGTGGTAGTGGTTGAAGGAGAAGAGGAAGGAAGAAGAGAGCTATGAGCCATAGTTGGAGGAGGAGGAGAGAGGGAGAGATCAGTTTGGGGATGAATGGTAGTTTAGGATTTTTCAAGTTATTGGATAAATACAGTACAAATAATGGGTGTATTGTACATGTTGGGTTTAAAAATAAGTGGGATGGAATACAATGAGTCTATTGATGTTTTGAAAAGTGAGTGGGTTTTTAAATAAGCTGGGGTAAAACTTTGGGTTAAAAGAGGATTTTCCCTTTTTTTTATTTTTTGAAAGAGCCTCTCTCCCTTCAATATCGATTCATAACCGTTAATCGATAACCGTTGACTATTCTAAGGCACCACCCCACGCTGACTCCCCCCCTCCCTCTTTCCTTTCTAAACTTAAATTATATATATGCGGACACCAAATCCGCCGTTAAAAATCACAGAAAAAAAAAAGGGAAAAGGTCTAAAGCGTCACCTCTTTACTGTAGCATATAAGTGTTGTTATCCTGATCTAGATGCGGAGATCTTTATTCACGTGGATGCTGCTGATTTACCTTTGGATCAGCTGCAAGCTTCATTACACGACTGATACTAAAACAATAACTACGTGTGACACGTGTAAAGCTGGACGTTATCTTACAGAAATGCGCGTCCACGTATTTTGGGACTCCTTCATCCGGCCCTTTTTGCCTCCTACTTGAACTCTCTTCTGCTCTCTCTCTCTCTCTCTCTCTAAACCAAGGTTTCTCTCTCTCTCTCTAGAAAACAATGAGCAAGTGCTGCGCTAATGGCAAAGGGCCGGGCTACGCTTCTCCCCTTGAGGCCATGAAAGGGCCCAGGGAAGCTTTGATCTATGTCACCTGTGTTTACAATGGTAATCTTCTCTTTATCTCTTCAAATTTCAGAAAAAGTTCAAATTTTTATTCTTGTGGCGTTATTTTCAGATTTATTAGAAGAAAACATGATATGGGTCTGAACTGTTGGTAGAGATTTTTTGCTTATTTTGGATATAGTTTATTCCAATTTTGATTCAGATGCTGTACTTTGGTCTTTGTTTAGTGCTTTTGATAATAATATAGTTGGGTGGATAATTGAGATCCCTTCTTTGTTGGAAACGCGATTATTATACAATTTAAGGGTCCTCCCTCTAAATTTAAAATTGACATGAATTGGTCTCTTTAGTTTGGGTTGCTTCATTGTTTTGCTGATGAGGTATTATGTTTTCCTCTTCTAGTCTTTTGCTCCAATATTATCTTTTTCTTCTTTATCTGATTAAATTGTATGCGGGGATATTTGATTTCTTTGAATACTGTAGGGTAAATGCCAAGTTATTAGTTATCAAATTAAGTAGACAAAACCGAAGTAATAAGGATCAAATCTACCACTGTGACTTCGTGTGCGCGATCACGAGAGAAGACATACCGCATCAAGTGAACTAGTTGCATGAAAGATTGTAAATTTTGAGTATGAAAGCTTTTGAAGATTTGTTGAAGGAGATGAGAAAATCTGGAGATGGAGAAGAACCTTTTTCTTCTTATTAACTTCCCTCTTAATTTGGTATGACTATATACATATAACATTGGAATAATATAACCCCAAAATTAACTTTCATTTATAAAGCCATCCTGGATAATAGTTCTCTACATTGTTCCTATAGTAAAATTTCACTTAATACTAATGAGTCATAAACATAAATCACGTAAATTATGTGAAAAGGAAATATAACGATGACTAGGTCAACTATGAAATAAATAGGACGAAGACTTGGTCAAAGCATGATTTCTTTTTTTTTTGGGTAAGTAAGATTTCGTTCCTCAAATACCAAAAGCTTTATGTACAAACTGTTTGAAGTAGTATCAGGTCTACATCAAAACTGGCCCTGTTCATCTATAAAAGAAAAACTATAAAAGCAAGAACATGGTATGGGAATTCAAGCAGCTACTCTTCCTACGTAACAACATCCCAAACAACTATCAGCTACTACTTCTTGCAACAATAAATTGTGGCTCAATCTGCATAGCAGCACACCATGAACGATTCTCCCTTGAGTCTTGAAACCGAGTGACCATACTACACTTAATTTTGATCTCAAAAGTAATCATTTGTAAAAACACTCCTCAGCTAGCAATGATTTTTGATGAAAAATTTTAGAATTTCTTGCAAACCATATGAAATAAACACAAGCTGCCACCGTAGCTCATCTGATGCTTGTAATCATCTTGCTAATCTCTCCATTTTAACATCCAATCCAAAATATTATCCCACACAACAGGGCAATCTTGCAATTGAATATATGCCATAACCTTAAGCCACACAGTAAGGCTATATGGACAAGAGAAAATTATATGACCTCTTGCTTCGACATGAGATTCACACAAAGGACATATATCAATCTGAATAACTCCATGAGCATGGAGTTCACTCCTAGTGGGAAGTCTATCAGGACAAGCAACCGAAAAAAATGAAAGAATGTTTAGGAGAGGTGAAAGAAGTCCATACCGTTCTAGTCCACTGCTTCTTAGGAGCAATCTCAAAGATCTTTTTATATGTAGCAACGGTACAAAAGGCAGGTAACCCAGCAGCCCAAGAGATCCCAGTAGCATTCACAACAATACACTTTAGAGCTTCACGTCTAAGTTTGAGCATTTTTCTGAAAGGCCAAGAAACATAGGGTTTTGCTGCAATATTCCACAGAGTATGGTGCCTGAAATAATAGCCATGTATCCATTTGACCCATAGAGAATCAGATTTTAATTGAAGAGCCCATAGATGCTTGAGCATGAGAGCAATATTTTGAGATTCCAAATGAATAAGACCAATTCCTCCAGATTGCTTGGGCTGACAAACATTCTTCCATGCCACTTTTGCTTTCTTGTGCTCACCAACTTTACTCGACCCCAAGAAATCTCTACATACTTGTTCAACACATTGAATAACTTTTTTAGGCAGAACAAAAATTCCAGCCGAATGGGTTTGTATGCTATATATCACAGATTTCACTGTTTGTAATCTTCCTGCGAAGGATAAAAATCTAGAGGTCCAACAATTGATTTTAGCTACCATCCTGTCAATCAGTATACTACAATCATGGATAGAGAGGCTTTTAAAAGTGAGAGGAATCCCCAGATACTTGACTGGAAGTGTGCCTTCAATGTAATGAAGAATAGTTAAAATTTCATTCCTTATAGTAGAGTTAACAGCTCCAAAATACACTTGCCTCTTCTCCTCATTAGCATACAAGCCAGATACCATACAAAAATGTTGGAATCTACTAAAGAGCATCTGGACTGAAGTGCTATCTCCTTTGCAGAATAACAGAAGATCATCGGCAAAACAAAGATGAGTGAAAGCAGCCCTTTGACATTTAGGGTGAAAACAAAACTCCTTTACATTCTTCAAATCTGCAAGGCATCTACTGAGATATTCTATCGATAGGACAAACAAGTAGGCGGACATAGGGTCACCTTGTATAATATCCCTTCTAGCAGAGAAGAAGGGACTCATCTGGCCATTTATACGAATTGAATATGACACAGGACCAACACACTCCATGATCCATCTACGAAATTTTTGAGAAAAACCAAGCCCAAGCAAAATGTCATTTAGAAAACCCCAGTTTAAGGAATCATAAGCTTTCCTTAAATAAACTTTAATGGTGCATCTAGGACAAATGTTCTTTCTACCATAGGTATGAACCAATTCCTGAGCCATAAGAACATTGCGGATGATGCTTCGATCCTTAACTAAAGCCCCTTAAGACTCATTAAGAATGGAAGTAATTACATCTCTTAATCTATTCGTAATCACATTAGAAATGCATTTATAGATCACATTACAAGATGAAATTGGTCTAAACTCAGATGCAAACTTTGGACATTTAATTTGGGGATTAAAGTAATAGAGGTGGTGTTGATGGACTTAAGTAACTTTCCAGAGTAAAAGAAAGCACTTACAGCCTAGTAATATCAGGACCAACCACCTCCCAAGAAGTTTTATAAAACCTTGTTGAGAAGCCATCAGGGCAAGGGCTTTTATGATCATTAATTTGGAATAATGCCCTTTCAATCTCATCTTTAGAAATAGGCTTGCAAAAGAGAATACACTGCTCTGCTGAAATTATAGGCCCCCTCTTAAAGATATCCTGGTTGACAGTTTGGCAAGGACTAGAAGTGCCCATCAAAGATGTATAAAACTGCATTAGATTTAGCTAAATGCCCTCTTGAGTACAAATATTAGCACCATCACTTGCAAATAGTGCATCGATAGTGTTAGCCATATTCCTTTGCTTGATTGCAGCATGAAAGAAAGAGGAATTTGTATCCTCATACTTAATCCAAGTAACTCTGGATTTCTGCTTCGAGAACATTTGCTCATATTTGAGCATCTTTTGAAAATTTTTGAGAGCCACATTGACCTGAAAACTCACTTGAGGATGTGAAGGATTGTTCTGAAGAGTGATTTGTAAATTGGTAAGGTGATCTCTTTCTTGATTAACCCTTGAAGTAATCCCCCTAAAGTATTGCTGATTGAACATTTTTAGAGCTTCCTTAACATTTCTAAGCTTCTTAACAACTTGATACATAGAAGAGCCTTGAAAGGATATATGCCAAGCTTCTCTAACAGTAGGTACGAATCTGTCATGAGTGCACCATGCATCATAGAACCTAAAATTAGATTTAACTTGCAGGTTAGGATGAACAAAAACAATGCTAGGACAGTGATCAGAGATTCCTGGAGGAGCAAATTCAATTTCAGCAGACGGAATAATAGATAACTATTCTCCATTAATGAGGACTCTATCCAATCTACTAATGGTATGACTAGCATCAACTTTAGCTGAAATCATGATGAAACTTCCAAAAAACGTACAATCCAGTAGAGAAAATGGAAAGGAAGAAGAAGACGAGATCAAACTAGCTTAGATCTTAAAATAAACGAAGGGAAATTAGGTGGTGTATGGTAGCAAGCATGAGCTATCGTGCGCCATCTGAGCTTTTTTCCCCAAAGTTCAACATACTTAACAAAGAAGTGAGCGGAATTGGTCAAAGCATGAACCTTGTTTAGAAACAAAATTAACCGATGGAACTTTCATTTTTTTAATCTTAAATCCCAAAGATTTGGGCTCCTTATATCCCATATAATTAGTAGTTATATCTCATTATTTTTGCTTGCAAAATTTGACTCCCACGAATCGAGCCTCGACCAAAAATATAATATCAACTTTTCATGTCTATATGTCTAGGAGGTATTTGAACTTGTGTGTGTGTGTTGGGGGGGGCGGCGGATTTGGCGTTCGGGTTTATTAGCCCCCCCACTAATACTACTTTCTCCACTGGATACATTAAAACAAATGAATGTAAGTTTTTTTTGTTTGACCAAACATATCAACTTCCAACTTATTAAAAAAATAGAAAAAATTCATACAATTGAATAAATAAACTATTCAGAACTAGAGTTTACAAAAGCAATCAATACATATAATTAAATAAATAAAGCAAAAAAGATAATAATCGTGAATAAGTGATCAAAAATAATATTTGTTGGTCATGACTCATAATAATATAAATAAGAGAAAAAATGAAACGTAGGAAAAAATTTGTAGCTTTAAGTATGAATAATGCCCCAAAACTCAATGGAACTCTTGAATTCGGGGGAAATTAGTGAGAAGAATTGGTTGATTTGAGTTGAATTTGGGATAGATTTAACAGGAAAAATTCCCCAAAAAAAAGAACCATCAAATGGCGAGCCAAGAGGGAGAGAAGTTTGCAAATGACTTTTTTGGTGAAAGCTCTTAATAGATTCGGGTTGGTACTCACATGCTTTGAAGAATATAATTTTGAGCCCAAACTAAACAGATTTGACCCAAACTTTTTT